TAGGAAGCTGGCCGAGAGTCCTGTGACCTGGAAATTGGGGTACCTCTTTAGGTAAAACCAGGCAATTTGGTTTGAAGACCCCCTTACTGTTATGAAAATTATGGACAGGTGTGTTTAGCTGAGAGGCTAAAAAGTTCTGTATGAGGAAGTGCTGATGACCAGGGACACAGTCCTCATGGGTGAAGACAGGGGTCCACCGTGGCTAATGATCTGAGGGGCTGAGAAAGACTGCTAAGAAGCTGGGGCATTGCTGGAGGGCACGGCTTAACCAGACTTTTACAAGGGCATTTCCTGTTTCTATTGGAGAATGCACAGGTGATCTCTTTCGTCTTCGCATTGCACTGGAGCAAAATCACTGCCATGCATGCGCTGGTGGAAGAAACAGCTGGAGCCTTTGGTTTAAGTGACAGGAAGCGCCGCAAACCACCCAGAGAGCTTCAGCTATGGAGCAGTACAGCAATGAGACAAAGGAATCCAGTATGACTGGTGTGTGAAAGGAGGCCACATCCTGCTGTGTTGCAGGATCAAAGGTCTGAAACTCTTCCACTGCATTGCATAGGAGCTTCAATGGAAGGTTTGTAAGAAGCTGTGACCACTTCTAGTACCTGTGGGAAGAGTGTGTTCCACTGAGTATTTTGCAGGCTCTGAGGCAAGAGGGCAGGAGGGAGGGAGGTCAGATCGTTTTGTACATTGAACTGAGCTCTGGACTGCATGGAAGGGGGACGAATGTGTGACTACAGAGAAGGGGAAGAGAGGTGCAAACCTCAGTGGCAAAAGCCACCATGGGGAGATTAATATGCAGCGTGGTCACCGCCCTTGAGTCTGGTTACCAGCTTTGTGATCAGTGGATATGGAGGGAGGCATAGATTAGATACGACCTGCAATCTGTGAGGCGTGAATTCCCAAGAGAACTGGGGTCCCGGCTCACCCTGCTGCAGAAGGAGTAGCACCTGGGAGACAGGGCTGTGGCAAAGAGATTGATTTTGGGGTGTCCCCATTTCTTGACCATAATCTGGGCTGCCCTTGGGTGAAGTTCCCACACACATAGGGCCGTCACCACCCTGCTGAGGCTGTTTGGCTACCCCTGCCTGGTCACTGGCAATGCACAGAGTTAAGATGGCGTTCGAATTGTATGGCCAATAACAGCAACTTCCCATACCTCCATGGAAACACAAGACAGGGATGTGTCATGTTTAGATTTCAGTTGTAAAACTCTCTCATAATAGAATTTAGGACAGGGAGTTTGAACAGGCAGGAACAGTGCTGCTCTTGGACCCTGTCGCTCTTCTAGATTTTGTGGAAGGCTGGTGAATGGAAGGCTTTATCCATAACTGTTTGTGTGGATTAGAGTTGGGACTTGCTTGGTATTGTTCATGGGTGTTGAAGGACTGGACTTGAGTTCCTGGTTCAGGGGGGCAACCGAAGATACTTACACTGGACATGTGGATGTCCTGCATAGGCAGGTTGGGTGGCTGGATCGTTCATGAGATCAGCTGAGGACGGAGGCTTCCATTGGGACTGAGGCAGCACGTAGGCACCAGTTTTCTGCAGCTGCTGCCTTCAGAGCCTGTTTCATTTGTTGAAGGAAGCCTTCTTCTCACTGCCCTGGTCTGGTAACTACGCTTTTGACCTCTTGGACTTGGTGCAACCTTCCTAACCCTTGCAATTCATTCTAGCTGAGCTTCTATTATTGTGATGTTGAGTAACCTCTGCGCATTCGGAAGGAATTCAACCTACTTGACTGACCTTTCAAATTCCATTTCACTTGCTCTTTTATTTTAAAGAACCTTCCTCTTTTGAAGACAAATATAACTACATTGGACTTCCTAGGCAATTTTCCACTTAAACATGCATTAAATTTGATAGCACTTGTCACTGTTCCAATTGGTTCAACAAATGAAGGTCGAGTGTTTGGGTTTATGTCAGCTATGTCCCGTTAGTACCAATGGATCCAGGACAGCTCCTGAAGGGCCAGATGGCTTATGTGTCCCAAAATGCCTTTGACGGGTCTTGGCGGGTGTACTAGTTGCATCCTTTCTAGTGAAGATGGACCTGGCTGAGAAGATTTGTGCATTAATTGCCTCTTGTTCAGACTAATGTAATGCAAGCTACATGGGGCTGCTGTTGAAAATGCTCAGAAACCACTGACAATAAAGAATGAATAAATTCTCAAGATGTTGATCAATATGTTCATGACCTTCATAATGCCTAATAATATCCATGTTGATTTATTTTAAGAAAAACTCTCTAAGAATCCTATATCTTAACATGAGAAGTGAAACGGTTGGGTTCTTGCACAGCCTCAAACATTTCTGGAATACTAAGACAAAAAAGTATACTTTATATACTACTAAAAGTTTAATTACTGCATTTTACTAAAGTGCTACATTAAAAGAAGTCCAGCATTCTTTAATGGTGGGTCAACTAGAAGTTTCTGATGAATTTGCATGCCGGTAGCAATAAAGGCAAGATTCCCGCGATTTCGTTTGCTCAGACCATCTGGTACTCAGATGGAGACATGTTTGATCATGGCAAATAGCCTTCGATAAGCCTATTCTCATTTTCCCTCAAACCATCTAACCTCTAATCCTGTGGCAGTGCATTCCACAAATTGATTAGGCACCGTGAGGATAGGAACAGGAAATAGTTGTCCGTTCTGAATTTTCTGCTAATTATTTGGATGACTCCAAGTATTCGCGAGATTTCCCTTCCCCACACCAACCCCATTCCTTTCATATCTAAGCTGTAAACCCAAAGCACCCTGAGAGCTGGTGTGGTGTGCTGGGGACGACGGGAAACTGGGAGGTCCAGATTTAGTTCCTACCTGGCCGTGAGGCTCACTGGGTGACTTCAGGACACTCACAGACCTTGGCCCCACCTTCCTCACTGGACTCTTGTTGTGAAGGTAAAATCAAGCTATGTACCTGCCACAGGCTCCTCCCAAGGTAGAATAAAAGTGCAGTGTAATAATAATAAGTATTCATAAGTATAGTAATAATAACAATTACAAGTCACCAAGAATTCTTCGTTATTTGGAGCCCACTCATGTTTCCCCTTTTCTGTTGAACTCATAAACCAAACCAGAACTCCCTTAAGCTACATCCATTCTACTTTTAGGTCTGCTGCATTTGCTGGAACAGCCAAAGGTTTTTCACTGACGTCAGGTTTGGGTTTTGATTTCTCCCTGCTTCAGGGGCTTCCGCACGCTTAGCCCTGAGAAACCTGCAATTCCACAAACATAAATGGAATTGTTCTGAAGCGTCATGGCCTCGTGCACAGTCTTCCTCTAGATCTTGTCTGTGCCGTAAAATGATTTCACTTTCTATCTGCCTTCCTCCAGCAGAGAGACAGTCGTATCAAATCAAATCATGGAACTAAGTGAAGCTTGCATTGATGAAGAACTCTAAGCCTCCCTTAAGGAGATTTTGCGCTGCCATCATAATCAACATTAGGATCACTGTTACTCTCTATGCTTCAACCGCTGATATTCGCAGCTTACTTCTCCAGCTAAGCATAGCTAGCACTTAGTCTGAGACAGTCCTCCCCAGATGTGCCTTCCAGATGTGTTGGAGGCTGACAGCTTGGGGAAGGCTGAGCTGAGAGTTTTGCTGGGATGGGAAGGAGAGGGGATCTCACAGAAATAGGCAAAGCTGCGGGGCCAGGGGCCAGTCATGCCTCAGGGTAAATCGCCCAAGGTTGGATGCTGTTTTCTTCTGTTATTGTGCTGTTTTTCCTTGTGCTTTTAATGTATTTGTTTTATCGTTGTTCGAATCAAGTGTATTATGTCATTTGCTGGACAGAAAGGTACGAATAAAATTGATCAACAAAGCCACCTGTTTCAGACTGCCCATGAAGCAGCAAATGCTTCCATGAATGGTACCGCAAAATGTACGGAGGTGCTGGCCTAAGGGAAGGGGAGGTGGGCATGGGAGAACAGGCTCATTTGGGGCTACTTCAGAAGGAAAAGTGGCTTGGCAGGAACTTTACTTTTAGCTTCTCTCTGTTTTTAAATTCGGTCTCTGCACAGAGCTATACTGGGCTTCGCAGGCTCCAAAACACCTCAGTGAATATTCTAGTTTCCTCTGAATTTCCCATTTTGGCTTTTTAAAAAATAAGTGCTGAGCCCCTTTATTTATAAAAATGAGTCCACTGAGAAGACTTTGGATGGTCAAAGCTTGGCACAGCTCCTCACAAACTGAGAGGGCACCCTAGAGCAGGGCTGGGCAGAAAACAAGTTCTCCAAATGTTTTGGATATGAACTCCCAGAAGTCAGTGCTAGCCGGGCCAGTGGTCAAGAAAGCTGAGAGTTGAAGTCCAGTCCATCCAAAGATCTACTTTCTGACCTCCTCTGGATCAAAGTACATCCAGCACTCTCTGCCAGCTGCACCATTTAAGGTACTTTGGTCATGGAGTTTTGTCCATGGAGATTCTACATCTTCTCATTGAGGAACTGCTGACAGGTTTTCAGAGGAGCTCAGGGATCACTGACCATCATTTGAAAATCAATGGTTTAGGAGCAGCCTTCCCTGGCATCCTCCAGATGTGCTGGGACTACAACTCTCTTCAGTTCCAGCCAGTAATGGGGGGGGGGGGGGGCGCAGCACAACAGTAATGGGGCAGAACCATGATGGTCAAGCCAAGACTCAAGCATGGGCGGAGCTTAAAGGGAAGTGGTCCATCGTGGGATTTTGTCCACCGAGTACCTGGTTGATGCTGAGCATGGAGTTAGGCTGAGAGCTGCTTCCAACTGGCTCTCCAAACCAAGACAAGAGTGTCTTCCAAAGAACAAGCCAGGTCTTTCTGTTCATGGGAGAAGATCCGGAACGCACTGGGTGGCTCATTCTGGAGAGAGCTCGTGCAAAAGTACCATTTCAGTTTCGTTAAATGACCTGCACGAAGCCCGCTCTTTTGGAAGCTGGGACAGATGTTTACCAGCAACACAACTTCACTAAAAGGAAGGCTATGCTGGGAAAAAGGAGCAGCCGGAAGCTTGCACTTACCCCTTGTTCTGATTCCAGCAGTTCTGTTTTAACTCTGATTGCAGGCATCCCATCAAGCATTAACATTCTGTTTTCCAATGTGTTAATATCCTTAAAGAAAATAAGAAAGGAAAGGATGAGCTTTGGGAGTGGGGAAAATCATGAAAAAACTAGGGCTGTTAACTAATTCAACACACTTTGAGTTAAAAAGTCAAGGGTTGCTGAGCAATTCAATCACAGATCAAGTTTCAATAAACTAGAATGCATCCATACCCTATTAATACTGTTGCGGTCAAAACCAGGCATATATTTTTTTAAAGACAGTTACAGAATGCGTTCCTGGGTTCCGAATTCAGCTCCCATAGAATCTTTTGAAAAGCAAGTTTCTAGCCATCATGGATTGTGAAGTAATGTTTTAAAATATGTGCCTGATGCCTGCTGAAGTCTGAGAAGCCATAAAAGTCACTGAAATAGATTTCCTGTGCTTTAGGACAGAGCTTCAATGCCCTGCAGAGTTCCATAAATAGAGTTCAGTTGAATACATTATGCAAAGTTGTTTAATTTGCATAATTTGCACAGGGTACAAAATCCACCTTTTCTTGACACCAGATTTAGATGACCTGGCTGTAGAATTTGCATATTTTTTCATTCCTAACACACATAGGCATGGATATAATCTACTCTAATCTAACAAGAGTACTGACTTGTTAGGACAAAGTCACCCTGAGAACAGGAAAGAACAAGGAAACCTAATAAGAAAAGTGGATTTGATTTATATAAAATTATCCACTGAGTGAACCCACCTTTGCTTTCAGAGTAATGGGGCAGGACCAAGAAGTGCTGAGGAGCGCTCAGCTCAAATGCCAACATGCCATGGAGGGAAATGGTTCCAGGTTTAGCCCTCTTCCCAGAACGTCTGTTTGCTTATCAGGCCTGGATTTCTCATCCTAGGGAGTGACCCAGCCCCGGTGGTTTGGCCCCTAGCCCAGGGTGGAGCTGGAAAAAGGCCGTCAGCAAGGCTCCAGTTTCAGCCACAGCCCAAGCCTTTCCCCGGGTGAGCAGCACAAAGTCGTTCTTCTTTAGCACGCTGGATAAAGCCAGGCCTGATTCTCGCTGCGAGGTTCAGGGGAGCCGCCCCAAGGTGTCCCTCCGGCCTGCCGAGACTGTCAGCTGCCCATGAGGTCTGCCAAGGGCTCCATGTCCCGCTTCCGGTCCAGTTCTAGGCAGGCAGCACTGCAAGGGCCGTGGGGCCCGGGAAGCTGCCGCGCTCGGCTTGGTGCCTTCCCAGCAGCGCAGGCTTGCCCGAGGCTGCTCAGCCAGTAAAGAAGGGCGGAGAAGCCCACTTTCGATCCCATCCCTGAAGAGGCTTTGCCCGACGGGAGAAGGGGGCTGCTTCCCACAGAAAAGAAGGCCGAAGAATGGCAGACAAAGGGCTGCTCTCAAACCGGCAGGTTTAATGAACTGTTGGAATCTGATTAGAAGCTAATGTCCCTTTTAGTGCTTTGTGCCAATTTGCAGCTGATAAACTTTAACCATCTCCCCCCACTGACTGTGGTGAACTCATTAGTTAAAAAAAGAAAAAAGAGGCACGCTAACCAAAGCTTTTGACGTTTTTGTTCCCAAGTAATAAATCACCAGAGCCCAACTAGTTCATGTGCCATTGAACACATTTACATGTCGCTGCTATTTCCATGGCTTTCTCCCGCATTCTGTTGTCCCAAGGCCCATTTCTCCTTGCCTTTTTGCTGCAGGACTGAGGAAGGTGAACGCAACAAAGTGGCCCAGCCTCTTTGCAGCACATCTCAAGCCTGGACTGAGATTCATCCCAGCTCTCATTTACGTCCTCCTTGGGAGCCTCTGAGAGAAGCTAACAAGCTCTTGCAGGCTGAAGGGATGCCACCTGAGCATGTACCACCAGTCTTTTAAATGAGGAATCAGGTAAGTGTCGTTCCCATCTCACCAGGTAAAGGAGCAACACTAGCGGTGTGGCACTGCTTGCAGCTCACAGGACGGACAGGCTCCCTCGCTCCTGGGTGGCGGGCAGGCACCAGCTGCACAAGGCTAAAGCTCCAGGGTTAAGAAACGCCCCGGTTTCTGTCGACTTTTGACTACAAAATCAATAAAATGGTGCTACTCTTGCAAACTCAGTACCAGATATGGCATACAGTATCTGCATTACTATTATCTTACATTTACACCTGCCCTCCTTCCTCTTGCAAGGAACTCAGAGCAACTTACAAGGCTCTCTGTTCCATCCTATCCTCACCACAACAGCCTTGCAAGCTCACTTAGGCTAAGAGTCTGTGACTGGCCCAGGGTCACCCCATGAGCCCCACGGCTGAGTAGGCACTAGAGCACAGATCTCTGCAGTCCAAGTTCAACACACTGACTACTATACCACATTGAATCTCTGTCACAGATTCAATAAGATTTGGATTAGAAATCGATGCTAGGAAAGCAGACCATGTGCCAAAAAAGAAGAACGGATAGTACTTTAAACAGGTTGATTCATGAGTGTAAGTCACAGGTGAGCTTTCTCACTCTCTGATGTCCATTTCCAGTTTTACTCCAAAATTAACTCAGTGGAATACTGTGTTTTCTATTGCTCCTGCTACACATCACTCACTATTTATTTATTTAGTTATTAAAACATTTGTATGCTGCCCCATTTGCCGAAGCCTTGGGGCAGCTCACAACATAATATAATACAAAAATAACAATATAAAACTAACAATGTAAAATAAATAACAATATAAAAGAACTATTCTGAAAGGTCCCATGAACTTTCAGGAATCTCCAGGGGCGGCACTGGGAAGGAATGGGGTGACAGGGAAGTCCCACTCACACGTAAAAGATCCCCACTCATGTTTCTTTGGATGCACATGCATAAGCATTAGCAAGATAAATACATATTAAATATGGAACTGTAGAGGGAAAAGTTCTTGGAGACACTGAAATGGCAAGAAAGCTGTCAAACATGCTAGAACCAACAGATGAACCAAAAAGTAACAAGTCACCAGGAAAGGCATCCAATGGCCCTTCAAGAGCTATTGTGAGAAACCGCTTGCACATGCTAAACCATGTTTCCTTCCAGAGAAACCTATCTCCTTCCCAGTAGATTGGCAGCCAGCCAGTTCAGCAACACTGTAAAATAAGCCCCAGAACTGTGATTGCATGCGAGACTCCCAACCCCAGGAAAACAGATCAAGAGTTCAGGAAAAAGGGGGGTGCAGGGTATTAGAGCAAGGGACTCTATGTATTAGAGCAAGAGATGTTAAAAGCGGCAGCAAATGAGTTGAAGCTGTTGTGCTCCTAATTCAGGAAGATGAGAAAGAGAAGCTAGAGGCTTCTTCATATTGGGAAAACAACCATTTCAAGAAGGTGTATATTTTTTGAAGCAACTGCTGATGGACGCATGTAAAACCACTTGGAGTCCTTCCCCAAGCACAGAAGGTTGTACAGCGCCCAGTGTTTCTAATGAAATCAAGAAACACAATTAATCCATTGGTCCCTGCTATGATTTTGTATAGTTAAGCAAAATCCCTGGCCATACATTTGACAGCACGGAGATCTGATAAAGGACCGTGAAACATCATGTTCTCACAAAACGCTTACATCCATATATGCCCAGCCGCCCCCTGAGATCAGCAGGAGAGGCCCTCCTCCGGGAGCCCTCAGTGAAGGAAATTAGGAGGGTGGTTACTCGGAGGAGGGCTTTCTCAGCAGTGGCGCCTAAGTTATTGAATGCGCTCCCCAGAGAGGTCCGCCTGGCGCTGTCGTTATTTGTTTTTTGGCGCCAGGGAAAGACCTTTTTATTTAAACAGCATTTTAAATGTTAATACTATTGAATTTTATTTGGCCAGGGCGGCTTATTTTATTCTAATGTATATATTTTAATTGTTATTGTCTTAATTTATTGTTGTGAGCCGCCCCGAGGCTTTGGCGAATGGGGCGGCATAAAAATGTTTTAATAAATAAATAAATAAATAAAAACAGGGGCCCTCCAGGAGTTTTATCTATTTATTATTTATTAAATTTATATTCAGCACTAATCGTCCATAGGACTCTCTAAACAGATTACAAGATATAAATTTTGGACTTTAACTCCCATCTTCCCCAACCAGCATGGCCAATTCTAAGGAGTGCTAGATGGTCATCCAATCATCTGGTGGTCATCCAAGATAGTGAAGGTGGATATGTCGCAGCTTCAGCTCTTTCAAAGCCCCTGTGAAAAGAAGGTAGCAAAACAATAGGGACCAAAGGTATGAAAGGAGTCTACTCGGATCCAGATCATTGGTCCATGCGGCCAGTTCAGGCCGGCAGCAACTTTCCAAGGTCCTAAGCGAGGTAAGTCTTAGGCAAAGTCTCTTTCCAGCCAGAGCATATTTTGGGCAGAGCTCTCAGGGCTTAGAGGTAGGACTTTCTGCATATATTTTGTCACTAGGCTACATTCCCTTGCCCGAAATCTCCTTTACTTTTGCTCATCTCTGCCGTATTATTTCTAGTTTATTTTTGATACCAACAATATGGGAAAAGCTTGAACATACTGAGTTACTATCCCCATGGCTTAAAATCAGGGACTGTCACTTTTTGAGAGTCAGCGTGGCATGTGGTTAACGGCACGGGTCTGGGACTCAGGAGAACTGGGTTCTAGTCTCTGCCTGGAGCGAACTAGATGAGTTTGGGCCAGTCACAGCCGCTCAGTCCAACCTACGTCACAGGGTTGTTGCTGTGAGAAGACTGGGAGTGGGGGAGGAGGGGGAAGAGGAGGAGAGCTGACTGGAGTTCCTTGGAAGGAAAAAATGAGATATAAGTACACTAAATAAATATTTTGTGTGGAAGTCTGACTGAGGATGACATTCTCATCAGAGATTTCACTGTGCTGCAAGGAATGAAACCCAAAGCTCTTAAACCCTGGAACTGATTCCCACGACTTTGCTCCTCAGCCACTCTAGATTCCCACAAAAGCACAGGGAAAAGACACAGCTCAAATAATGCATCAGCACTTCAGGAAATACAGCCCCATTCTGAATTATGGCAAAGAACAGCCATTCTACCCAGTGTTCCATGACAGGAATAATAAATCACTAGCTATTAAGAAAAGATTGTGC